ACGTTAACAACAGGCCTCGAGTGACAACAAGGAGATCGGTGAGATATTTTTGGCGTTATTGAGCAATAATTCCACAACAAAGCAAAACTAGCCTTTGGCAGTTCCTCCAGAGGTGTTAGGAGACTTTGACCAATCAGAGGGCAGTTAAGAGAGAGGGGGCTCCTGTTGGATGCATTTAAACCCATGTGATTCTAAATATGTGAGTCAATATTGTAATATACCAAGACCACGATAATGCTGTGTTATTGAAGTGTGTCTGTCCCCGTGAAGAAAGGCCTGCTGGATCTCACTGCCTGCTTTCCTTTTTGATGTCATGGCTCAATTAATATTTAAATTGCATCTGTCTCGTCTGCTTTTCTGATGACTTCTCTTGTCTCTGTCTGATTTCTTGTCACAGCTGTTGGCTAACAAACCAAACATTTGCAGTAGTGGCCAGCAAAAGATTTTTTTATTTTTTTTTATTATGTTAATGTTGCATCTACTGACAAAAATGTCTGCAGGCCCTTTGAGTGGCTGACAGGTAGACAGTATTGAGACTAATTAAATTCCCTAAAACTTGATGCTGCCACAATAAAACACTATAATCAAACAAAAGGTGCTGACAGCTTTAGAACTCCATCAGTGAGTCTGAGCTCAGGCCGCATAATTATTTGATTGTTTCTCGTGAGGAGATTTGTGTTTCTTTTATTCCCCCTACTGGTTTTGCATTTGTTAAATGCATCTAAGACAAATGGCTCAGCTTCGCTGGGCTCCTTCTCATGAATGAATAACAATGTTAATCAGTGAGGGCTTTGTTCTTCTGCACTGCATTCTGAACAAGAGTAGATAGCTCACCTGACCCCGCTTTCAACTTGACACAATACCAACCCTAATTCTTCGTCCGCGGACACTTTGTCCATTCGAATGAATTTAACAGACTCCGATGAAACACCACAGATCCGGGGTTTAACAACACAGTGCGGGGATTGTACAAACGTCTCTCTTGAGCAAAGCGCTTCTCAGGGTCACTTCTAACCAACATTGCTAATATCGGCGGCTAGGAAACAAAAGGGATTTGAGGGAATCTTCACCGGGGCATGACAGCGAGAGGAGAGCTTAAGTTTGACTGGGGTGAAGAGGCGTGAATTATAACAGCAGATCCTCATCCCTCGTGTAGTTTTTGACTCATCTCTTGTTTCAATTAGCCGAAGGGGGTCCAACTGACAATATCTCTGTAAATCCACAAAATCTCACCACTTCACCCCAGTTGTTATAAGAGCAAGAATTGATTAATGGGAATTCTCCACCTCTACTACAACTATCCAACTTAATCTCCCACACATCACTTGCTCTTATTCTTCCCTGCGTGAGATCCAACTATGTGTTCTTTGACTTTCAAAGGCCAAAACTTTCACACGTCTATGAGTCTAAAATAGTTTGCTTTTGGGTTGTCCGCGTGGACAAGGTATGTATGTATAGCAAGTGCACAGACTGCAAATACTAGTGGTGTACAAGTTCTGCAACTGCAATGATGAACGTAAACTAGCTGTCTAAAAGGAGTTTTTGTCGGCCGTTGATTAATTGTGGACAGCTACTTTGGACAGATTCTTCTTCTTCTACTTGACTCTTACAAGTTTGTGCGGTGCACGTGTGGATCTGGAAATGCACATTCGCAAATAGTCAGATCATCAAGGACCCACAATATCATGGATGTAATCGTCCAACACATCTGAGCCGAATCCTCATGGCTGTTATTTCTTTATAAGCTGCGGAGTTGACGCTTGTTCAACGTTACAAAAGTGTTAAACAGTATGAGCTTTACTCCAGATTAGTCTACGGTCGACAAGCTTTGTTTTGCACAACTGTGCCACAGAAGTTAAACTCTCACACCTTCCAACTACCTGAGATGAAGACACAGACTTCTTCTCATCTTGGAATCAAGGAACACCAGATGTTTCTTCCTTAAATGGCAGCTTTCCATACCGCAGCGAGTGTATATGCTTACATGCCTGCTTCCTTGTTATATACCAAGCGTGAGGGAATGCATCATTTAAACATTCTACCACAGAGCCACGGGTGATGCTGTCTATGTCTAGCCTGAGGGCACTGAGACAAGTGCTCATACAATTTTCACCCCTGTAAGACAGATGAGGACCACATGGGCCAAACACAAGCAACCTCTGTAGACGCCCCTACGGTAGAGCAGCGTGTTGGATTTCCTTGTATGATCTGAATATAATTCAGGTTCTTTTAACTTGAGGGAAAATGAACGTGAACGCAGAAGAGAGGAGAAAAACAGGAAAAAGCAACCTGAAGAGTCCAT